GGGGTGGGGTGTCTGCCCTGTTGTGCTGTAACATGTATTGAAACACCAGTAGTTATCTTCACTCTTAACATGCTGGTGTTTAGAAATTTCATATTTTCTAGCTGAAAAGGAAGAATGAAGCCTTAGCCTCCACGTCCACATGGAAGAGGCGGTGTTGACCAGGCTAATAGGCCAGTGAATTCATGTGTTGCTGAATCTCTGCCAGAAAGCAGGGAGAGCCTTACTTAACTTCAGGTGCAGGGTTAAAACATAAAAATGAAAGTCTATAAGACTGAAAAGACTAAGGCTTAGGACAGCTATAAATAAAAAAATCTGCATTTTTCATCACCGCTGGCATGAAAGTTTAACTGAGCCCGTTCCTTGTCCAATACAAATACAAAGTTCACTGCAACAATGTATTACTGACTAAAAAACCAGTTGCCTTCTGTTACATTTTTGAGAGTTTTTTCCCCTGTTGACTAGTAGAATGGAATACAATTATATAAACTTGGGGTAATGCAAAGGCAAGCTTAGCACAGTGCCTTTTGCAGAAATCGTAAGTTAAAAAGAAAAAAGTGTCTCTGGTTCTACTATGTGTATATTTTGAAGCTACAGAGTTTCTCCTTACTCTACCTGCAAATCTAAATAGTGAAGCAAAATAAATTCTGGTATCTGTTTCTTCACATTTCTCTCTCAGTGTTTTTGGCAGCTAGCTCATCTTCAAAACTAGAATGCTGAAAAAGACACAGTACCAAATGCAGCATTTTAGCGCCCCACATATTTATGATGAGGAAGATAATACGTTGTAGGCAGAACGAGAGAAAACTTAAATGGAGAGAAGACCATCAATTAATTTGTAACTCTGAAGCACTCAGGCCCCTGAATACCAGTGACAACATGTATTTGATTTACAAGATTTTCAGATGAGCTTAATTGGTCACTGTCAACTGAAGGCAACACTGATAACAAACACTACTTTATTTATACCATCCATCTGTTTCCCCATGTTCCGTATTTTCAGTCTTATATACATACATGATAAAATCTGGAAACATCTATCAAATTGTTCAAACCTGTAAGACCATGGAAAGCTTGAAGTGAGAGAGAGACAGTGTTTGCTGATTTCAAACAGCTAATTTCTGGCCATTTGATATGGAAATGCTCAAGAAGAAATTGAGTCTTTAAGTCAGTGATGTCACACAGGCTGCAGGTTTCTTCACACCACAAGGGATTGAGAAAGGACTGAAAACATAAACTTTAAATTTTACCAGTGAGCATTCCAGTTACCTGCACTTTGATGCTTGTGTATTTGTACTTTTGACATAATAGTCTACAGATGTAACTGAGGGCATATTCACTGGGTAGTGACCTTCTAGGTATGAACATAACACTGGGTATGACCTGGATGAAGGGACAGAGCGTACCCTCAGCAAGTTCAGTGATGGTACAAAACTGGGAGGAGTGGCTGGTACACTGGAAGGCTGCGCTGCCATTCAGGGAGGCCTGGACAGGCTGGAGAGTTGGGCAGACAGGAACCTGATGAAATTCAACAAGGGCAAGTGTAGGGTCCTGTACCTAGGGAGGAATAACCCCATGGACCAGTACAGGCTAGGGGTTGACCTGCTGTGTCATACAGTGTCAATGCCTTTGAAGTTCAAGCTTGAGCTACCTTCCTTTCAATTAAGGTAGAATGCTTAATTTTCCTCCTCCTGGAGGCTGAAGGCATCAAATTCAGTTTCAATGTTTTCTTTCACTGAAAGTGAAATATAAACTGACTGTGGTTTGTTCTGTTCCCTGTTCTTTATATGTCAGCGCAGCATTAGCATGGGATGGCTGATACATATTATAGGGCACACAGTTATGGTGAAAACCAAACCAAACCAATTTCTCCTTCAGAACAGCTTTTCTTATTTTCTGAAGGAAAGAAACCACACACATTTTGTCTTAGATTCAACTGACAGAAGTGCTTGAGTTAATCTTAATCCCTTTTGTTATAGACATAACTGGAATTCAGAGGCTAGACTGGTAAAATCATTCTGTGTTCAATTAGTTCCTAAAACTGGCTGCTATTTTCCTTCAAGTAGCTTGCCTCTCTCAGATTGCTGGGAGTTGCAAAGAGAGTACGAGTCTAAAGGAGTCAGGTGTGAGACTGCATTGTTACAGAAATAGATGGGGCTATGTATCTTTTATGACAAATTCCTCTTCAGAAGAAATTTTCTGCTTGCAAAGACTGGAAGATGCCCCTTACCTGAAAGTTACCAAAGGAACTTCCTCCTGGCAAGGTAATGTAACTCACAAATTGCGGGCCCAGGGAACTCAGTGACTCATACACAACAATGCCTTCACTTGGCAATACAGCTTTCTTCTTCTGTTTGCTTTCCCAGAGCTCCTGCGATTCCCTGTCAAAGACATAAAGATGCTGAATGTATGATACCATCTAAGTCCTTGATTTTGACTTGGTGTTTTCTGTGTTAAACAAGAAATGCAGACATATGAGCTTGATACTTTATATCTTTGCCATTATTAAAAATCCTGTGATTGTCCCTGGTGTGAAAATGTGATCACATTGCAGAGATATAGGCTGAGGAATTTCAGGGACTAGAGATGGCTGTTGCACATTCATTCTGGGTCAGCAGTGTTGTTCTTTTAAGTCAGTATGTTGGAAAAAAACAGCTTACTTTCAAACAAGAGAAAATGTTATATTCTAATTTCTCTTTACCCGTTCTCAAAAAAATCATGACTACCCAGAGAAAGCAGCTTTTAATGCGAAATTTTGTGAAGTAGCCATGCTGAAGGTGTTGTATATTATGACAGTAATAGTTACAGGCTAATGTGAAAATCAGAAATTCAGCTGACAGCATGACTATTGATGTGATACTCCAAAGTTTTAAATTCCGTGGTGGACTGTTTTCACAGGTTTTTGCTTTGGACACAAAACGGATTTTGTGTCTAGTTTATCTAGACACCTTTTACAAAGCCAGCTGTGCTGTAACTCTTTCTAGGTCCTTTTCTAGGAGACGACTACAGAAGGAAGAGCACTATATAGATGTTCTTTTTAGCTTTGTCAAAGCTCCTGCCAGTATTTGCTTTAGACCTTGTCAGAAAAGCCAGTCCATCTGAAAGAAGGGCTGTGTAGGATGTTTGCCATAAAAATACACACTGCTGTAGGTAGTAATTCCTCGCTTAAAAGTTTTAATTGGAAGGTAAGAACTGAAGTTCTTACTCTGGACCTTCCAGTGGTGTATGGATTAGTCCTAGTCAATAGTGTGAACCCCTTTGATTACTGATACCAGTTTAGTATCATAATGCTATACGGCATTAATAGTTTGTACAGTGGGATTCATAGGATAAGTGAGGGTAGTGATAACTTCCCTCTTTTGCTTTCCCCTTTCTACAATGTCTGGCTTGTCAGGTGGGGAGAACAAGGACCATGGATCCATTCTGAGGTACTGTCACAGTGATGGTAGGTCACATGCAGTCTACGGGTGGGACATTACTCTATTTCCTGCAATGTGAGCCATGAGATCTCAAGCAGTGTCTTCTCCTGGTTCTTTAATCCACCAATTTAATCTGCAACAGCTTTTCCTGGGCACTTAGTTAGGATGAGGGCAGGGGCACAGAGTGTGACCATCACCAGCCTCCTCCTTTGTGTGCGCAAACCATAAGGACATGCAAGTGGCACAGTCTGAGCTCTTGGGAACCGACGGACAGCGGTTGGATTACACTGCTCTCTACAACTGTAGATCTGTAACCACAGATGCAGCAGTAGTGTTGGGGCCTACTAATTCTGGCATTTCGAGTGTTTAAAGCTGCAGAACTGTCATGGCAACTGAATATTATTTCACCTTAAAGAAGACAGTTATCTGAATAGAAGTATTTGTAACAAGAAACACCTTGGGACAATCATCTGTCATGGTGCAGCTCAACTTCAGAAAAACCTGAAATGCAGAGAAACCAAAGAAACTGTCTTATGCTTTTCTAATCCTCTATTGACGATAAGATCTCTTTAGATCTTATTGTGAAGGGCTCTCTTCTAACCACTGCTCATCTCTGAAATTCAGTACTTGGTAATCCAGAGAAATTAAGTAGTTTCCTGAAATTGTTGACTTTGTCTTTATACTCAGTTATGAACTATAGGTAATATGAGGAGAGAAAAATCAGAATTTTACCCAGGTAAGCTGCTAGCAGAACAGATCCCCAAAGGTAATCTACCTTGATCAAGAATGCTTCAGAAACCGGTCTCTGTGCTCTGACTGTCTCACCGATGTAAATGTCTGGGTGTCTTTTATGAGACTTTCCATTCTGCAGAGCATTCACATATGTATCGGGTAGCAATCTAGTTCAAAATCCATTAAGTAAAAGGTGATATTTAGACATAGATTCCCTGAATGTCGAATTTCCAAGCTTTAAACTTGACAATTCAATAGAAGCTGCAATGTCAGTAAAGAAATGGTATTGATGATATTCAGTCCTGTATTGGTATTGAAATAGATCACGATTAAAATTGCCAACATCTAGAACACCATACGTTTAGGATGCTACCATAAAGCACTTTTGCCTTTCAAACAATTGTTGTCCAGGAGTGTAATCATTATCCAATGTCTGCAGGAATACCAAATACAGTGTTGTAAGTAACCTACAGTACATTTCCTGGTCTCATCCTCTATCCTATATATTACAACTTTTGTTAAAAAAAAAAGTTAAAAAAAAAAATTCAGCCATATCACCACCGGATTGAATATCCCACAGCTGCTAAATACATCTGTGCCAGAGTTTTGTGCTCTGCTTTACCCGTCAAGTCATCAACAGTATGCAGGTTGCAGTCGGCAAAGCACCACAGGGAAGTCCCAAGAATTTTTGACCATTTTTTGCCCAAGCCAAGTCCCAGAATTTTAATGTCCAATGCCTCTAGCCGTCCTTGATGGAAAGGTGAACTACCACAAACACCATGCTTTTGCTTAAAAAAAAAAAAAAAAGATAGTGGGTCATACAAGAAACACCAGGTGTTTAAACTGCTTAATACCAACAATAGCAGCAGGTAACCCTCTAAATCAGGGTGGGAGGAGGATGTGCACAGGTGTGATCTTTATTGCTCTTTTAGTACCAGTTTTATAGCAATTAAAAGAGTTCAGAATGTAAAATTTCTACTTTTATTTCCTTTTTTTTTCACGAATCTTTTTTAAGGTAATTCAGCATTTGGGCAGCCTGCTTTTCTCAATTGACTGAAAGTTTTCACTCAGGTTCCAGTTTTCTGCAAACTAATAGTCACGAGACTTTTTAAGTGTGCTAGAGAACTACCTTGTTTTACTACCATCCACCACCAAAAATGAGACGGTGTCCCAGCTTTTGTTGAAATCCTGAAATATGCTTTTGGCTGTCACAACCTCTGCAGATAAAGAAATATTTTACCAGGCGACTAATACGCAGTGTGTAGTTATTACAGGTTAAACCACTAACTATGACTAACACTTAAACAGTATCTGAGCAGCAATACTTCTGCTCTGATTAAAATTGTTGTCTGTCAAATCAAGTTCCTATACATAGCAAGCTATTCAGCAATCCAAAACTTCAGTTGGATATCTCTCTAATTAAGTGTCTAGTTTTGTACAGAAGTGGATAAAGAGCAGTCATATAACTTCGTTTGGCTGTAGGGGTGGCAGTATCTGTCTGGAAAATACTTGGTGATACGTATGTGGTGGTAACACCTCAAATTACCACTGCAGTTTTTGCTGTGATTTTTCAATCTCAGCCAAAGTTAGCATATCAAAGCACTGATGTACACAAAGCTGTATCAGGTCAACTGTAGTTTGAATGATGCCTATGAAATGACTGAGCTTTTAAAATAATGTTTATACTATTCAAATGCATTGAGAACCACTTCTTTCATGATTAAATTATCTGTGCTTTATAAATTCTTTGTGTGAGGTGGATCACTGAATCAGTTAACTGTATTGATTTTATTCAAGTCAATGCTGAGTCTCCTGTTCAAACAGACAATATTTTATCCGTAAATCCATTTGTGCTTCCTCCCTACCTACCCAGATCTTTCTCAATTGAAAGTTTATAGTAGTAGAAGTATTACCTAGTTCAAATGCAAGAATTTCATATATCCTTGTTGTGGTTTAACTGCAGCTGGCAACTTAAGCACCACACAGTTGGTTGTTCAACTCCTTCCCCGGTGGGATGGGGGAGAGAATCAAAAGAGTAAAAGTGAGAAGACTCCTGGGTTGAGATAAAGACAGTTTAATAGGTAAAGCAAAAGCCATGCATGCAAGCAAAGCAAAACAAGGAATTCATTCACTACCTCCCATCAGCTTGCAGGTGTTCAGCCATCTCCAGGAAAGCAGGGCTTTGTCACGTGTCATGATTACTTGGGAAGACAAATGCCATAACTCTGAATGTCCTCACCCTTCCTTCTTCTTCCCCCAGCTTTATATGCTAAGCATGACACAATATGGTATGGCCTATCCCTTTGGTTAGTCGGGGTCAGCTGTCCCAGCTGTGTTCCCTCCCAGCTTCTTCTGCACCCCCAGCCTGCTCGCTGGTGGAGTGGGGTGAGAAGCACAAAAGGTCTTGCCTCTGTGTAAGCACTGCTCAGCAACAAATAAAACGTCCCTTTACTATCAACACTGTATCCAGCATAAATCCAAAGCGTAGCCCTATACTACCTACTATGAAGAAAATTAGCTCTATGCCAGCCAAAACCAGCACAATCCTTCTTCTTTAGTTCTCTCCCACCTGTGAATATTAAGGGTTTCACAGTAATCTATTTGATTTTGACTGTAAAGTCTAATTATGAAGTGAGATTATCTTTTTCTGTGTGTTTATCATACTTTTAATCATCTGAAAAAGCATCTTGTCCAGGAGTTAAATGTTCTACCTGGTGAAGCTGTCCTAGGATATCCTTTCTGAAGTTCTCCTAATCTGCAAGGATTGTTGTAACTTTTTTTTTTTTTTTTTTTTTTTCCTGGATGAGGCTGCTTGGAAGCTCAGAATTCTGCAGAGTGGAAATATATGGGTTGGTCTATTGCTTTTACCATAATTGAGCCCTGAGCTCTTCTCAGTATTCACAAATACTATTTTATGTGAACCAGATTTGGAAGAAGATTAAATGATGAAACATATGTTGTATCATGGCATTATTTTCCATTTTATTTCTCACCTTTGAGTAGGAAATGCCTTGCCTCTGCTAGTGGAAGTCTCTGGGTCAAATTCAGTATAATTCTGAGTAAGAATCAGAACTCTCTGATTTGAACTAAATGAGTAAGTCTGTATCAATTCTATGCTAGAAAAAAAAAAATTATTCCAAACTTCTATGAATTCTGGCTAGGCACTCACCTCAACCAAGGCAAACAAACAAGATCATGAACAGGAGAACATCCATCTAGAACAGAATTGTTTTGGCTAAGAGTAGAAGGGCTATGCAGTGAAGTAGGATGGAGTCATTGACAACATTTTGCTGCCAAGAGAGTGGCATCTAAAGGACACACACAAGATAACCAACTACTTCATAATTTTAAAACTTATCCCAGCTCTTTCCAAACCCCCTTTTAACTACATTCATAGATTTAATTTAATATTTGAACGCAGAGAAAAGTACAACCTTTCTGAATGTAAGAAATACGTAGTAGGAAATTTATTAAAGAAGATTCTTAGTGAGAGGATAGTGAAGTTGTCTTAAGGGCCTTAAATCAATCTGTGGCACATACTCAGTGAAACTATAACGTTAAAACAAAATTAATAAGCTCCAAGTGCACCCCTTCTGCAGCTGTAGCCTATTATAGCTTGTAACTTAATGCTTGCAGCTTACGGAAGCTGTTAAACTGGTTTCAGACTAACAAACAGATACTATTTAAATCTGCAGAAGAAAGGTCAGCAATTGAGGTAGGAACCAGCAGGTTTTTTAATGGAAGGTTTCATATCTTCTCTTTTAATTAATTTTGTGTATTTTAAATTAACAACTGGATAGCTTTAGAAAAAAATTGTTGCAAATGTGAGTAGGCAATATCAATTTTTCCATGATCTTCCTATGTGTTTATAAGCTGTTATACATTAACATGTTAGTAATGACTTAGATAAGTTATACTGGTCCCCATGCTATAATTTCTATTCTCCACGCATGTTCTGTACTATTTGATGGCCCAAACCTCCACTAATACAGAATGAAATGAGGTATTAAGAAAATATTATCATGTAGCAAATACTAGGGCGCAAATAATATGCTGAAGGGCCTTCAGGGACCTCTTTCCTTCTCCACAGTGGACTAAAATCACTTGGCAAAATGTTCACAAACTGACTGACTGCAGTGTAATTCAACAATGAAACATGAATTCAAGTTAAGGGATTAAAAAAACTTTGTGGAAGTTGAAACAAAGAAAGTTCACTCAACAGCAAATTAATTACTGTTAAGCAGGTATTCTTTATTAGCAGCGCTGGGGTCACACTGGGGATTCTCCACCGTAAGTGCTCACAACGACCGGTTGTTCTGGTGTTGTTTATATTTACAAGAGTGTTGCATATTAATTTCATAGACAAAGAAATCATTAACATAAGGCACACCTTTTCTTAGAACTAATTAAATATACATGAGCTAATTATCCGGCGGTTGTACTGCCATCCAGTGTCCTTTTGTGGGTATTACAGCATCTCTGGTGTTTACTTCCTCCAGTGGTCTTTTCATAGTCTTCATCACTTGTGCTTTTGCTGAACTCTTCCAGTTGGCAGTTTCTTGGGCATGCATAGAAAATAAAGGCTTACATAGATACTTTGTTATCAGAACCTCACAGTGAATCATTCTGTTTTATCTTTCTCTTGACATCTATTAGTTCTTAGATCTACGTTTTGTCCTTCACAACTTGCTTTAGCATTCTTTCTCTATCTGCAAGGTCTTTTGGTATCTATTTCACTAATTATTTAGAAATCACGATGTACATGCTTTTGCAATTCCTTTTCAAAGTATTTAGCTTTTTTCAAGCTATGTAATAACTTCTACTGCGTACCAGACCATTTTTTAACGTTGAAGCAAGGACATAACAAGATACAGTGGTTAAAAACTGTCATTCAACAAATTCAGGCATGAAACAAGATAATTACCAACTGAGGTAATTAAACTTGGGAACACTTTACCAAATGTAAGAATTAATTCATGGTTGCTTCCAGTTCTACAGTGATGTTATATTACACTTGAGACTTAATTTTCTGATGAATTCTTTAGGTTGCTGTCACTGTTTAAGGCTGGGCCAGCACTCAAAGTGGACGCTAGATGCTCCCTATGAACCCCTTCCTTCCCCCAGAGGAGAGGGAAAGAAGAAAAGGGAGAGAGACTTATGAGTTGGAAATGAAAACTGCTGTAATAGAACAATAACAATGAAAGAGAGTACAATAATATTAATACTAATACTACTAATAATAGAAATAAAAGAAAAAAATACACAAAACCAATATTGATCTTCCCAATGATGGTGAGGGAATTGCAGGCCACAGCATCTTGCACTGCTGCCACAGTTGGCAGGCACCCGTGTGTCCTGGACGGGACTCCGCAGACGACAGGAACCGGATTCAGGAATGCACGAATCGGGATCAGAGACAGGAGATACCTGTCATGGTATCCCCACAGGGACACCAGCCATGAAAGAAGGCAACCCAACCCCCATGATCCCTTAGGTTTGTACTGAGTATGACATGTATGGGTAGGAGTATTTTGTTGGTCAGAGTTTGGTCACCTGTCCTATCTGCACCTTCCCACAGATGCGACTCGAAAATAACTTTTCACTTATTTAACAAAAGAGAGCCAGCAGTGGCCTTGGTTCTCGTTGTAATAAGTATAAACGTGGGCCTTTCTGCATACCAATCCCACTGTTACTTCAGTAACAACTATAAACATTAAGCCTTACCAAGTCTGAAAGCAGACACTGTCTGAAAGACATGTAGCCAACTTCAGAAAATGCAGTTGCTTGA